ATAGACAATTTAACTGATGCACGGAGAGATTCCAACAGGATTCTAACTGGTGACTCTCAGCCCTAAAAAAACGAACAGTGAATAAGATCTTCTCTTTCTTTCTCATTTAGGATCTTTGAGGATCTATAAACAAAGGACAAATCTGGGGTTAAGTCTTAGGTTCTTATGAGCTTCTCTGGAAATGTGAGCACAATATGAAGCACAGAACTGGCTTCTGGCTTCATTGAGAAGCCAGAAGCCAGTAAGGCTTCTCCATTCTTATAAGGGAATTGATTTAATGGAACTCAACAATTTCTATGGACAAACATAGGACTGCCCTTGAAGTTTGGCATGTTTTTGGATACCCATCTCTTAATATATCCCGTTTTTGGAACTGTGAGTTCAGCCATCCCTTTCAGCAAAAATACAGGTATTACAAACGTGTACCAAAGCTATTAAAATGAGCGAATTACAAATGTAGCCAGTAATATATTCTTTAGACACTCAAGGTCACGTTCTTCATCAAGAATGCACCACTGGTGTCAGAGGTAGCTTCCTCATCTGCTGGACTCACTCAGAATTCCATGATATATATTTTCTCTCTCTCTCTTTTGGATTCAGGGCCACCTCGGGCGAGGGGATTATGGAAACGGTCCCATATTGACCTTGCCAAGGGCCCATCTGTGTAGCTCTTGAGTGCATCTCATGTTACGCCCAAGCTTTGTCTCAGGGTGTCTGCAGAGATCACATCACTGATTGCCTCTTCAGCACCTTTGTCTTGATGGTTCTGGCAGTGGCCGGTGCAAGCTTGCTGTTTATTGGCAATTCTGCTATTAATATTTATAAATCTTCAATAATGCATGAGTTGATTGTACCTGATTGACCATATGTTGCCCTCTGCCCTATATCCAGGCACCTGAAGTAATGGCGCTCGTAGGCCTGTGTCATATCAAGGTATGATCTTGGGAAGGAGGAAGAGAATGGAAGTGAGCCATTATCCTCCCTTCCTCATCTTTTTCACCTCATTAGTCACCAAATCACATCTTTGGTTTTCTTCAGTCCAAACCTCTGGGATTCTTCCTTTCCCTTTTGAATGTAAGAGATTTTTTTTAAAAAAAAATTCAGGAGCTTGTGTTCTGTCTGTTAGTTTTTGTTGTTCTAATCTATGATACCTTTTGCTTGCGTCTTTGACTGGTTTAAGCATGTTTGCGTTCTTAGTGACAAGCAATTGGGAGATTTTTAAAGACCCCTTTCGTGTTTCTAAGGGTTATCATGCATGCTGGGGGCCACAGATGACTGTAAATTAACATTTAATGGCATGCCTCTGAATGGATGAATAATGCATAACAATAAATAGCTTTGGGGAAATGGCATTTGGATTGGGAAGATACTGAATATGGATTTTCTAAAATAATAATATTCATGAATGGCATTTTGAATTACATGGCAAGATGGGTGTGTCCAAAACTCAATCAGATTTGCCTGTTTGACGCTCTTCAGTGATCTGGATTATGTGTGTACAGATCAATCAGCTAACATTATATATTTACTATCTATCTATCTATCTATCTATCTATCTATCTATCTATCTGTCTGTCTGTCTGTCTGTCTGTCTGTCTGTCTGTCTGTCTGTCTGTCTGTCTGTCTGTCTGTCTGTCTGTCTGTCTGTCTGTCTGTCTGTCTGTCTGTCTGTCTGTCTGTCTGTCTGTCTGTCTGTCTGTCTGTCTGTCTGTCTGTCTGTCTGTCTGTCTGTCTGTCTGTCATATATACATCAATTGTTTAAGAAGTAAAGTCTAAAACCCTATTGTAGACTTATGGTCACATAAGAGTAATGGTATGTATTGTGGTGATGTCTTGCCACACAATAAGAGGATGCTTACATCACTACTTGTGCACCACGCCGTGAGACAGGCACACAGCTAGGAATGTGAGCTGCAACTTATTCATTAGCAGCAATCCACCATTGTGAATCATGCTACGACATTTACACTGAGGTAAATCCACAATAGGATTTTGGCTATAGGTGGGTAATTATTAAAGTGGAAAGGAGTCAAGAGTGGGGTACAGGTTCCATTGTTGGACTGGGATTTAGGAAGTTCGGTTTCAAGTCCCTGGCAAATTCTGATTATCACCATGGACTAGCTACTTTTTCCTTTTCTGACCTGCCCCACAGGGCTGGTGGGAGGATCAAGTGAAGCGGAGAGTTCAACATATCCATTTTAAAGACAGTTTATAAATGCAATGCTTTTTAAAATGCATTTCAAAATCACTCAACTTCTTTTGTCAAATTACTGAACAAAGTGCTCATGGTTGACCATCTACTAGGCGGATGGTTTTGGAATTAAGTGAAGACTCTTTAAGAATGCACAAATCCCCAGATCCAATCCTACTGTCTGGAAGAGTGAGATGACTGCTTTAGGTGGTAGATTCTGGGGGCAGCAGCAGGATGCTGAAGGAAAGAGGAATGGGTTAAAGATCCTGCCCTGTGTCTCCTAATCCAGGTTTCAGAGGGTGAAGTAGAAGCTATCTTGTTGTTATTATGTGATGTGACGGACTAGGAGAATAGAGTTCGAATCCCCACTCAGTGGGGGAGTGGATTTGGTAAAGCCACTTCTTAAATATTTCACTTACTTTAGAGTCACTGCAAATCAGGACCAACTTGATGGCACAGGACACACACAAACACAAGCTGTCAATTCAGTTTTTGTACATCACTTATTACTCTTTCCTCACCGTAGGCAACAAAAATAGAGTTTTCCTGGGAAGCCTATTGCAAAGCAATGCAAGTCCACTTTGCCACCCCATCTTCTCCAATTTGGGAAACTAGGCAGACTTGGACCAGGCTAGGACAGGAGATTCAGATAACCAGGAATTTCTAGGCTGGACATGATCTCATTTCAAATCTTGGAGAGCACCTCTCAATCAGATCTAAGGCATGCAGACAAAGGGTTTGACTTAAATAAAAGAGCCTTCTATGTTCCTGAGATACATCTAGTCCAACATCCTCTTTCCATGGTGTTTCCACATAGAATCTGGAGACTCCACACACACACACACGTGATGAATGCAACACCCTTCTGTTTGGTTTCTGAGCATGTATGGATCCCCTGCACCTAAACAGACTTGGCTATCACACCCAAGAGCCACTGAGTGATCACTCTGTCCCTATGGCTTTCTCGCTTTAGTTCTCCAAATGTTTTGGCTGTCAGCTCTTGTAAGTCCTACCTCAGGGTCAAGGGCCAGGGATCCTGAAGGGCCAAAGACGAAGCACCCCTGGTCTCTTCCCTCGTCCTCTTAATGGTGGCCATCCACTGAGTAACGGGAGTGACCGGTTCTCGGAGCTTTTTTCCAAAGCTTAAATCGCCTTTTAGTGCTTGATGTCCTCCTCTCCGGCCACCACCACGGAAGCAGCGGAAGCCGCTGGCGTGGTGCTGAATGGACAGCGCCTCCGTTTCCCCCCCCCTGCGCTAATGGACCAGATGCGCTCTAGCTCAAGAAGGGACACCCCGTTGGCCACCGAGGCGTGTGTGTGTGTGTGGGGGGGGCATCTGTCTGAAAGTGGCTCCTCCCACCCTGCCCCACAGATTTCAGGGAGTTCCCCAGGCTCCCCTTTGCAAAACGCAACCCCTCCAAGGACACGAACTCAGTATTCCAGGGCACCTATTTCGCAATCCAAGTTCGGTCCCTGACATGCAGGGGTGTGTGTCGGTGGGTGTCACTAAGGATGATGGGAAATGTAGTCCAGCTGATATGGAGGGGGGAGTAGGTTGGGGAAAACTGCAATGGACATCCCTAGGCTAAATGGAGGAAGGACCAACCTTAGTCTCACACATAGGACCAATATTGTAAAGAAATAAGAGAAGGAAATATGCATCTCCCTCCCCACCCGGCTTTCTTTCCTCACCCCTCTCTCGCGCAACCCAAAGCCACCGCCTACAATCGCAGCCTGGGCAAGGTCAGCTCCTTCGTATCTGGATCCCATCCCTCCTGCCGCCCCCTCCTCAAGGCGCCCCGCCCTCCCGCCAGCTGCCCCCCC